ATAATATGCTCAAGTCTCAGGATGAATCCTGGCTGCTACATGCAGACGCTGAAATGCTGTGGGTGGTAAGTGACAAACTCTTTTAATCCTGCAAATCTACTAAAATTCCCAGTCAAATCTCTCCAATCTTCCCCTGGTGACTCTGATATTTGTACATTTGTTTTGCAGCACACAGGGCCAAGCACTGCTACAGTACAGATGTGAGAGGCAGCATCACGTGAGCCAGCATGTCCTAGGGGCAGCCAAAAGAGCTGATGGAGGGAAATAACCCACTCACCCATCACATCCATCCTCTGGAAACCTCTCACAGTCTTTCTGCTTTGCTTAATTTCTTTTTCTTTCTTTTTTTTTTTTCCTTTAGTAATTCCTCATGGGTATTTTTCCCCCGAGACCCACTGCTACAAGCCCAGAACTTGCTCTGGGCTTACCATAAGCATTCAAAGCACAGACAATAAAGAAACATCATTGGCATCAGGACTGAGCCCTTCTGCTCAGCACTGGAGAAGAAAGAGCAATAAATGGGAGCAGAGCCACAACATGGAAAAAAAAAATCTCATTTATGGATGGAGGAAACTTGGCATGTAACACTAGGGGTTAAACTGCAATAAAATGCAGTTTAAAAATAAAAATAGAAAGCATTAGCTAAAAGTTCCTGGAAGTAACAGGACTATGTCTCCAGAACCATAAACCGACACCAGGGCACACCTTTACCTCCAGCACGTTTTGCACCACTAAAACAAGTCATCACAAAAGTATCTCCCTTCCAACTGCAGAAATACGTTCACTTGTCCCAAGCATAACCCATAGGTAGGGCTCTGCTGACAACACAGATATTGTACAGGCACAAGAAAAACCAACAGCAAATCCACGTGTTTAAGGTCTGCCTTGGTGTTTTGAACTGAGACTCACAATCTGCATCCAAACAGTGGCATTGCCCAGGAAATACCTTGGTGACAACTTTGGTGCCACCTTATTTAAACCTTAATTTAAAATGCTAACTTCATAATGAGTGGAACAAAACTGTGTAAAAACATTTCCCACTCTAATCCTGGTTTGATCCCCCCCAGTATGGCCTTCTTTTGTAATTACATCCCTTTGTGATCTCACTCTAATGCCTTGTATTGTGACCCATAAAATAATCAGCCCCCTTTGTCTCTCCCTAATCCTTTTAGACTTCCTTCTTGTCTCTACACTCTTATAAATGCTGCCATTATTTGGGCTCAGCAGCTCTTCCCACCACCCCAGAGCCTGGAAAGGGGGCTGCAGGTTAAACCCTGAATATATTCTGTGCAGAGGAGCTGAAACGATGGGAAGATCTTTGCTGCTTTAACAACGCTGTGATTCGCAACCTCCTCTCTTAGCCAGGCAGCTTGGCAGGAAAAGCTTCCTGAGTTATTATCAGGTACCACAGTACTTCAAATACTGGGCAGGTCCATTTCACCAAACTTCAAGAAACCTCTTTGGCTCTAAATTGCACCATCGACTTACTCCCCCTCTCTCCTTTTTTTGTTGATTTTTTTTTTAAGCCTCAGATCAAACAGGGAAAATTGCTACTCTCAGGCTGGGTACGTGCAGAGCCTGATCTGATACCCAGTTTGATGGTGATTTCCAATTAGTGGTAACTGCTTGTTATTGAGTGATATAATCAATGGGTCTTACTCCACCGGCTGGGCTGTGATTTATGATGATGTGGAGCCAGGTCCATCAAATTACAGCATCGGCAAAAAGGGCTGGAAATGCCATGAGACAACACGATCAGAGTCAAGTCAGGCCAAGTTAAGCAAAGGGTGGTGATGAGAAGAAAGGTGGCTGTGTTTTGGGGAGCCCACCTTCCAGAGGAGTGGACTCTGGATGGTACTACTGCCCACAGGGTATCTCCATCCACAGGGAGCAAAGGCATGCTCAGCTTCTGACATGCACAAGGGAAATCCAGCTCCTCAGAGAGACCCACAAAAACACAGCCAAGCAGTGCCTCCAGAGAACACTCTGCCTATGAAACTGATTTTAATTAAGACAGCTCGGAGTCATGCGAAATTATGAAACTGTCATTAGGAGACAGAAAAGATCTGTATTCAATAACCTGATCAGATTATAAAAACATGTTGCATTCCACAACCTTTTAAACTAACACACCAGGGTTTGAACAGACACAGAAACAGCAACTGAAAGAATTCCAACCGGGGTGTCAGGCAGAGGGTGGAAATGCCGAGGGCCTCCCTCAGCTCAGTCACGCGTAGGCTTCTTACACACTCGTGCTTGTTCAAAAGAAGGTTACACTACAAAAATATTATCAGTGTGTTTAGCACCTCACCTGCCAATCCACAAACCAGCCAAGGTCCATTTCCCTCCTCTGAGTATCTTCCATTAAGAATGACGACATACAGAAATACCCCTGAATTTTAATTAAATTAATTTAATGAGTCAATTTTTAAGGAGGAAGGTTTTAAGAAGCGCCCACCCCGTGGGGAAACTGCCGGCACCTTGAACCCACCAGGGCCGCACGCGCAGCGGCTGAGAGCAGCATACTCTTCCAGTTAAATTTTACTCAATGCCAAGCGTTGAAGTAAATTTGAAACATAAAAATATGATATCCAGCCCACATTTCCTGAATGCAAATATGTACATTCCTCCGAGCCAAGAAGATTATATTCCAAGCAATAATACAAAGCCAGGGTCTGTAACGGTGATATGAGACTAACAGCCTGCCTTTGAAGACAGCGAAAAGTGCAACAGAGCTCTCGAGGGGCTCTGCTCTGTCAGATCTCTTTTATTCCTCAGTAGCACGGCCTTGATCAACTTTCAAGATTTTTGTTTGTGAAAGGTTTTTATTTCTCCTTTGCTTTTGTGTTCAGATGTCAGGCTCAGAGGGAAGGTGAGATCAGCACTGGGATGAGGTTTTACCCACTGGCAGTATTTACTCTGCTCCGCCAAGGTCTGCTCAGCGCTAGGGATTTTTCCCCTCCCAGGCAGCCAGCACCCATTCCTTCCATGCAGCGGTCCCATCATCTCTCAAATGGGGATAATTACCCTTCTCCTCTGACTGGCTTATTGGGACTTGGGGCAAGGAAAATCACTGTCGCTTGTGTGTAACCACCGTGAGACACGGGGGCTCGGGGTACAACTAAGATTCATTCTTAGGAGATTTCATCTACGATTAAGCCGAGTCCTGAGTGTAAGTGCATGTTCCTTCGGCTCAGGCACAGCAGGGGAGCTCGCCCTGAGCAGCAGGTTACATTTGCCCACAACATCCTGTTTTATTCCCATTATCTGCAGGCACCTGTGGTATCAAGGCCAGGGGCCCCCTGTTTTGTGCTAGCTTCACCCAGACCTCTTCTGAAGGCTGGCAAGCAACCAAGCCCGAAGCAAGAAGAGAGTCCAGAGCATTTTCAACACGATCCCTTTTTCATTTTGATTCACGTGAAACTATGGCTACAAAAGGAAACACTATTCAGGGACACACAGGACATCACATACATATTGATGCAGGAGCTGAGATAACAGTGTTTATTGACAATCCACAATCCCAAAGGTAATTCCTCTGGCTCTCACATCTCCTGTTTACAGGTCCAAGAAGTTTGACATTGTGCTTGTGTGTCAGCTGGCTTCCAGCTTATAAATGCCAGAGCCATTCACCAAAAGTGCTCCAAGGTTTAGCACCACAAGACTGACAAGTTTGAGATCCAGCTGCTAATCTGGCACAGACCCAAAGCCCTTGGCTCCTGGACAACGTCACTTCTTACACTCCTGAAAAGCTAGGTTTGCAGATGGCCACTTCACGCACTCAGGGATTGTTATACACAAGGGCTGAAGTGTTCCCTTGGTGGGCTGCCAGCCGGCCCCAGCGCTGTGGGGAGCGGGCGGCCGCGCTCCGAAAGGCCCCCCGGTTTGGAGAGTGCAGATGGGGGACCTCGGCCCCAGACTTTGCTGTAGACCTTTCCAGCTTTGCACAAAAAAGTCATGGTGTGATTTGTGAACGCAACAGAAGCAGTGGTAAGTGGCTTGCACTGAAAGAAGAGCAGTAGCCATCTCCCATGCAAGTCGGAGAACCTGCAGTAGAACTTACTTAACAAACCAGTGTTTGGACAGGGCTCAGGGCTGTACCAGACACCTGTCCTCACATTCACACAGAAATTATACCCAGCAGCAACTCCTGGTTGAATGCAAAAAGATCAGTGGCTGCACCCCCGGGGCCTACAGTCTGTGAGCAAAGCTGGCCACCAATACAACAGGGACAGAAACCATCATGACCCTCCAGCTCCGCTATCAGTCCTGGGATAAACACAAACCAGCAACCAGAGCTGGCAGGGCAGAACCAGGAAACCCAACAGGACCCAACCGCTCCAGCCAGGGCAATGTAAGGGGCTAAGCTGGGTAGTGTGCAGGGCTGGAGTCACAGCCTGCCCTGGAATTCTTCCTCCCCCACCTTTAAATTTCATTCCCTCACTGACATTTTCATCTGTCTCCTCCTCCGGGCTCCCCCACCAGACAATCTGTCTGGTGTTGTTAGCCTTGCCCCCAAAGGCGTTGCCACGCCGGGTAGTAAATAAGACCTTGCTGCCTCCACACTGCCAGCATTAAATAACAAAATGAAAGACACCATGACCTTCAGAAGGTCTTTGCCTATGATTTGGGAAGCACTGCCTGCCAAGCAGAGCCCAGCTGTGCTGCACAGCAAAGGGGCTTCCAAACTCACCACAGGAGATACACAAACCACAGACGACTTCACTGTGTGAGTTTAGAGTACCTTATCCCTCCGACACAGGGAATTTACTGCTGGAAGGTGGTTTTTAGCTTTCTACCCAAGAAAGCTGATTAGCTCTTCTTTCACACTTGGACAGCTACACAGATTAGATACCAGCCAGACATCCATACCAGTTCCATGTTCATTTTCTCTTCCCTGTCTTTAATGCTCCCTCCCTCCCTGAACACCCAGCACCCACCACGCTGCCCTCCTGCTTCCCAACAAAGCCAGTGCCCCTTGTGGGATTGCTTGCACTTACTCGCTGCCTGGATCTTGGCCTTCCGGCTCACGACCAGCCCGTAGTGGTTCTGTGCCATGCAGTCGTACTCGCCCTCGTCCGAAGAGCCGTCTCCCCGGACCCTCTGGAAGCGGGAGACGTAGAGCGACCCGTTGGCCAACATGAAGGCATTCTCACTGTCCACGATCATCACACCGTTCTTCCTCCATGTGATGGTGATGGGCTGGATGCCCTCCACCTGGCAGTACAGGATCAAGGGTTGCTCCTGCACGGCTATGTCATCGCTGGGCTCCACAACGAATGCCAGTTCGGAGGAATGGCCAAAATCTGAAGTGAAGAGAGAACAACAGAGTCAGCAGCGCGACCATGAGGAGCAGCAAGAGTCAACTGCTACTGCAGCAAATGGAGGATGATGGAAACATTTTGGATGGGCTACAGGGTGCAAGTGTTTAGGAGAAACGACAAATCCTTGGGCATGCTGTGCCTCCCAAGGCTTTGCTCTCAAAATCTCGGGGTGCAATTTCCAAAGGCGTAACCACAGGCATGGTCCTTTGAGGTTGCCTTTGGAGGCTCCAGTGAAGGGGATGGCCAGGCACACCCGTCCAGTGGCTTGCCAAACCCCAGTCCCACTCCATAGCCCCCCCGGAAATTGTCTCTTGCACAAAAAGAATTGCACAAGCACAGAGTGTCAGCCATTCCCAGCCCAGGAGCAGAAGTTCACACCAGTTCTGGAAATCCATCCCTCTCCCCACGCGACCAGGCGGAGTGGGGCTGCGCCGTGCCCCAGACCCGTTTGCAGCACAGCCGGCGGGGGTGAAGGGGGGATCGGCATCTCCCGATTCAGACCATATTGCCACCGGCATCTTCCCGACACTTCTCCCGCTTGGCAGAGCAGGAGGCTGTTTGCCTCTCGCACACAACACCATGCCCTTCTGTCGCTTTGGTCTCTCTCACGCTGTAACAGCCGAAGGATGGTGCTATTCAGCCCTTAATGAAGAGCAAGTTAAGCACAGAAATACAAATGCACAATGTTCTGGCTCAGCCACACAAAAGGTTTCTTGCAAAGCAATTACGCTAAACGATGTCCGCGAGAGATAAGTTACTGCAGAATTTGTAACAACAATAGGCAAACCCTCGCTTCCCATCACACAGATACGTCCTAATTTACTTCTTTTGCCAACGGAACGTTTAAACGCTGTGTCTTTGGCATGTTATGCTTCACTTGGTCCAGTACACCTTTTGAGGGTATAATTTGCCCTATAGTCATGATCAGACGCTACAGAAGATGACAGAAATAGAGCTATTGCTTAAAGATGGGTCCAAAATATCGGCTGACATGAGAGATAAAAAGCAACCAAGAAACAGCAGTCACAGAGATATCTGAAGGGTGTAAACGCAGGATGGAGGCAATTCTTTTTAAAGGAGAGCAGAGTAAGAAAACTACAATTTCATCTGAGTGTGGAGAAAGCCTTTCTAACAGTTCACTTGTGCATCAGCCCCTCCATGGGTGGTTTCCCAACCTGGGATACAGCTTCTCCCCTCTTTCATGGGCTCCAGGGGACCAACTCCACAGCTGCTCACAGAATTGGGACTCACAAGGCAATATCTCTTGGCAAACATCAGCCACGGCACAGTCTTTGTAATGCCTGTCCCTCATACAGACCCCGCCAAGGACAGGATCCCCCACACTAGGCTCAAAACCAGGGTGGAGGGCAGACTGTTAATGCATGGTAAGAATAACAGAGATGAGAAGAGGTAGTTACACTAAAGAAAGAGAAGGGAAAAAAGTCTGTCTTTTCTGCTCTGCAAAACCAGTGAGATTTTTTTTCTTTCTTTCCGTAAATCCCCATTGCTTTCTACAGCAACTTAAATTGGATTACGGGGGATAAACATTGAGTGCAACCTGAGCTGAGGCAGATGGACGGAGCAGACAAAGGCAGCAGTGGTAGTGCAGGGCAGGCCAAAGGTACTGCCAACAAGGTATGAGTGTGTGCAGGGAATGGACAAACCCTACTTAGTGACAGACACCTAAAACACACACTTTATTAACCCATTAAGTCTTAAAATGTCAGGCTAGCTCCAGCCATCTCAGTGATCTATCGCTCACTGTGACTTCTTTTTTATGAGATAGCCCTGGGGTCCTCTCAGCAAGTCAGACTGCAGCCAGCACAAACCCATCAATTACTCTTTTTTTTGGTGAAAATTAAGAAATTAGTTGAATGCTCTGCATTTTTCTGCAAAGTGGCCAGAGTCTCAACACCATGCTGGGGCCCCATTCCCTGTGTGGGTGCTCCTGGCAGTTAGGCAGGATAAGGACCCTCACATTCTGACACTTAACCGAAGGGGACTTCTGACTCCAGAAAGATCGAAAATTTCAGGATTTAGCCTAACAGGCAATCAGAAAAAATCCCTAATGAAATAAATGCCCCATCTTCCCCCTGTACTCTTAAGATAAAACAGCTTATTATTATATGTACAATAAAAGGAAGAATCAACATAATTACATGCCCTTCCCACAACTGCTGTCATTATAACAACCATCATTAAGGTCTGTGATTGGAGATAATCATGTTTACCTCCATAAACATTCGGTCTGCATCCTCACTCCAGGCTGCTGGAGCTGCAGGAGTGATGGCACTCATAATTAGGACTGGTGTCCTCAGGCACATGCCGGAGTGGGGACGGACACGGGCTGGTCCTGGGATCTCCTCAGGCTGTATTTGGGACCGGAATTGTGCCTTGAGGTGTGACAATGTGCAACTGGTTTGTAATCTGTAGACACTGTGCAGTGTCCAGGAGCACCCAAATTCTACCTCAATTTATGCTTTTCTCGTGGAACGTTTATTAGACCTTGAAGAAATCCCACTGACTCTTTCCTGGGGCTTCAGGGATAGTTGACCAACTAACCAGACACATGGAAAAGCAAGCCCATCCCATCTGGGGATTTGGTAGAAGCCAACCTTTGTCTTTCACCTGTCACAAAGGTAGACTCAGAACACAGAGCACTGCCTTCCTGGGATGCTCATGATGAGAGATAAAGGGACAGAGACACAGAGGAATCTCCATGGTGAGACAAGAAGGCTCCTGGTGTTTGCTCTAGAGACCAGCTCAGATGGGCCAGAGAGAGAGCACAGGCAGAGCAAGGAAGCAGTGGAGCAAGGGGAGAGAGGGACCCAACTCAGTCAGCACAAATAACTGACTTCAGTCAGCAACAGGGCACAGCAACAATGCTCCAAAGTTGGAAGTAAACGGCAGTCTGCAAGCACATGGAAACAGTAAAAGTGCAATTAATTGAGAGACAGTGAGGAAATCGCCAAGGCCGTGCACACTCACTCAGGGAGTTTGAAAGCCCCATCCATCTCCAACAGCTGGCTTCGTATCCAAACCCAGCTCATCCCACACACCATCCCAGGTAAGTCCCGAAAGGATCTGCGAGGCAGCATGGCTCCCAGCCACTCCCTGCTCGAGGCACAAACTGTGAGCTCTGCAGTACAGTGGCAGGGTCTGCAGTCAGAGCAGGAGTGTCAGGCAGGCAGCTGAACAACCCCGCTCGTCTCCACACCGGCAGCACGCGAGGGAAAACCGCTTTGCTTTCTGCAAAGGGGTGGAGGAAGGGAGTCTGATTAGCTCTGACATAAAGGCCATAAGAAAATTACTGGAATCCTCACTCTACAAGTCTCCTTTTGAGAAACATTTACCATCTCCCTGAGCAATACAATATGTGACTATATGTGCAAATATTTAACAAAAACTACTTCCCCTATTGATCAAGCAGACAGGCATACTCAGAGAAACCAATTAGCACTTGTGCTTTTGAACCAAGAGATTTATTTAGTGCTGAGAGAAAGAACTTCGAATTAATGGGAAGCTTAAAAGACACTTTGAAGTACATTTAAAAAAAAATAAGTTTAATTATTTTTTACTTGACACTGTGATTCACATTCAAAGCTTCAAAAGAACTTGCTCATACCCTAGCATTGTCCTTTTCGATTTGGGAAACACGATTTTGGCTTTCCCTCCTGTGCCTCAGCAGCTAATCGCACTGCTCTAATTAGCAGTGACATCCACTGCCAAGGACCTCAGTCACATCCTGGCTCATCCTCCTGGACCCCATCCAGACCTGCAGCCAGCAGGGCCATCCCTGCCCCGGGAGCACCCGGTCCCGACAGATGAAGCCCGTATTATTACTCCTGTTCTAGACAGGGAACATTAATCACAGAGAGATGAAATGAGCTGCCAAGAGCCGGGGCTGAGCTCGTGGCAAGGCGAGATATTGTGGGAGCAGTTGAGTCCACCCTGCTCTTCCTGGCACTGCATCATCAGGAGCACTGGTGGGGAGACCAAGGCAGCCCCAGCTCCTCTCTCATCACACCACCTGCAAACTGCCTTTCAGGAGCAGAAATTTGCCCCCTCCTGATTTACTCTGTTTGTTCCCAGCATAACACAGCACATTCATATATGGCCAGTCTTACCACCTCCATGGATAACCACTCCAGTCCTGCTTCAATAAAGCCAAAAGAAGATGCCCAGGACAAGAGGATTTTATAGTGGGATGCAGGTTAGTATTAGGGCCAAAAACCTGGGTGCAGTTTGGGCCAGCCCTATGAAAAATGGCTCCTGTTTTTTTCAGCGGTGGGTTGTTTTTTATTCAAATCCTTCTGCAAATGGGAGGATATGGAAGCAAGAGATATATGGACCTGAAAGATGTTCTCCAACAGATTATAACAAGGTTCAGGCTGATGAAATTGGCAGCCTAAAAATCCAGCTGGTGCGCTCTTAAATCTCCTTGAGGCTGACCCAGACCCTAAGGAGAAAAGCACTGCACTGTAGTAAAGTGCAAATTGGCTCTTTAGGGCATCCAGAAAAATTTACATTTAAAGAAGAGGAGAATAGGCTGTAATAGGCCCCACATCTTGCTGGCAGTAAAGTTTACTAGCTCAGAATTTTTTATTCCCTTTCCTTTAGGACAGGAGGTTATATAAAGCGATTTTTCCATCAGGGAGCATAAACCACATCCACTCGTTAAGCAATTGCAGGAGGTCTCTGTCGGGGACAACACAACCTCTCAGCTACCTCATGCAGAACTCAGAAACATCCAGGATCACTGCCCTCAGTGGGGACACAGATTTTAGCTGAGGAAGGCAAGCGCAGCCCAAAGAGCTGGAGAAGTTGCCCCAAATAATTTTCATATGTTTGAGACCGGACTGGGCAAATCCCAGGAGGTCACTTGTTGAACGCTGTGGAAGCTGGAAGCGTTCACAGCACAAAGAGCCTTTCCAGGACGAGCTTTGAGCCCTTGCGGGCTCCCCCATCCTGATGAAGGCAGG